AGAGCATTGCCTGCTCTTTCAAAGGTCCTGAGTTCAATTCCCGGCAACCACATGGTGGCTCACAACCATCTGTAATGAGGTCTGGTGCCCTCTTCTGGCCTGCAGACATAAAAAAGACAGAATATTGTATGCATAATAAATAAATAAATAAATAAATATTTTTTTAAAAAAAAGAAAAAAAGAAAAAGCGAAGAATTAGATATAGCCATAGCAGAGAAGACCACTAGAAAATTTGTATTTTAAAAGGAACAATGTGGCCAGGTGGTGGCGGTATTGGTACCCTCAGGAGACAGAGGATCTTTGTGAGTTCGAGGCCAGCCTGGTCTACAGAGCAAGTTCCAGGACAGGCTGCAAAGCTACAGAGAAACCCTGTCCATAAACACACACACACACACACACACACACACACACACACACACACACACACACACACACACACACGAACTGTGGGAATTCCGAGGAGTGGGAGTGGAGCTAGATGATTTTGAGACCCCAACGATGGCTGCTTAAAACTGGCTGAGTGTGCATCCTACTCAGAGTTATGTTGCAGTTTTCTGTTGACGGTGTATTTACTTTTACTGCAGTTATGTCCGAATTGTTCCACAACTGGGGATAATTCACTCATTTCAGTAGATTTAGTTGATATCCTGAAAGACAACAACAACAGATAATTCATATTACACTAGCATAAAGAAATAGGGTAGGGGGCTGGGATAGCTCCCTGGTAGATGCCTTCTTAACATCCCCCCCCCCCCAAGCCCTAGGTCTGGTCTAACACTGAGGTGAAAGGGGTGGAGAGGTGGCTGTTGGTAAGATGTTGGCCAGGAGTGTGATACCACACATGTCCAGAAGAGCGCGCCATAGTGCTGAAAGAACATTTATTAGAGTCTTCTTTAGTTAGAGGATTTCCTTTTACTTTACTTCCCCCTCTCCTCTTTCTCATCTTCCCTCCTCTCTTGCCCTCTCTTCCTCTCATCTTCTCTTCTCTTCCTTCTTTTAAAAGACAGAGCCTCTGTCCCTGGTGACTTTGAACTCGTGATCCTCTTGTCTCAGTCTCCTCAGTACTGAGATTATAGACTTGCCACACAAAGCCAAGCTCCTTTTTAAACTAAACAAAACAAACAACTCGTTTGTCTTTTTCTTACTAGTTTTCAGGACGGTTTAACACTGTGGCTTAGTGGATGAAGCACTTGCTGCATGGACCTTGCCTGGGATCTGATCCTTAAAGTTGAAGGAGAGAATGGAACCCCAGGGTTGTCCTTTCTGGAGGTCACTTCCCAGTGCCCACACCCAGAAACTCATAGCCACCTGTAACTAACTCCAGGTGAATCTGACACCCTCTTCTGACCTCCATACAAGCACACCACATACACACAAAAGTAAACATTTTTAAATCTTAGAAAAAAAGGCAAGGACTGAAAAGATGGTGGCGTGGTTAAGAGCACATACTGTTCTTCTAGAGGACCCAGGTCTGATTCCGGGTTCCCATATCAGACCTGTAACTCCAGCTCCTGGGAATCCAACACCCTCTTCTGGTCTCTGTGTGCACAAATACATATCCATATAATTAAAGATAAAAGCATCTTGCTGGGGAAGGGGTAGGGGTGGAGACTGGTGAGATAGTTCAGTGGTTGAAAGAATTTACTACTTTTGCATAGAACCCAGGTTCAGTTTCCAGCACCCACACGGTGGCTCACGACCATCATTCCAGTTTCAGGGGATCTGATGCCCTTCTCTGGCCTCTAGGCATCAGGAACACACATGGTACATATACATACATTCTTGCAGGCATAACACTCATAAACATATAATAAAAATGAATAAATTGAGAGAAACAAAAAAGCCTTCTCAGCCCTCCTTTTTTGATTTTTAGAGATAGGGTTTTTCTGCGCAACAGCCCTAGCTGTTCTGGAACTCACAGAGATCCGCCTGCTTCTGCCTCCCAAGTGCTGGGATTAAAGGCATGTACCACCACCTGGCTGCTAACAGCCTCCCTTTCCTGCAAGTCTCCTGTAGGTATTCCAGCAGCCCCATCCTACCTCTATTTTGATCAGTTATTAAATCTCCTTGTGTCTAGCAAATGCCTCACACATGTAGGCACTAAGTGCCTACTGGGAAGGAATTACACAGACTAAGAAATTGCAGATTTGTATTCTCCTCCTTTCCCAAGATGGGTATTCACTCCTCCATCTTTCTGAAACTTGCCGTCCTGTGGACTGCCTTCACTTTCTGGCATTTTCACTGTCTCATCTCTCATCTTTTCTCATGTCTTAGGTAATTGCTGGCTTTAATCGCCTTCGGCAGGAGCAGAGAGGCTTGGCATCCAAAGCAGCTGAGCTGGAGATGGAACTGAATGAGCACAGGTAAGAAAGTCACAGAGAAACAATAGAACAATTGGATGGGCCGTTTTGAGGGTGGGCTGCAGTAGAGTGGGACTGAATTTTGAGGTCTTGTTCTCTACCCTAGCCTAGTGATTGATACCCTGAAGGAAGTGGACGAAACCCGCAAGTGCTACCGAATGGTTGGAGGTGTGCTGGTGGAGCGGACTGTCAAAGAAGTGCTGCCTGCCTTGGAGGGTAACAAAGAGCAGGTGAGCAAGGGGTTAAATAGGGATGACCAGGGATATAGGGAATGTGAGGGAAGAAAGTCCCGGCAGAAATTCATGTTGAAGATGGTGTGTAGCTTGTTAGTCTGTGCCCTTTATACGATTACGAAGTCCAACTCCTTACATAGGGAGTTGCTGGCTGCGTGCCCTTTCCATAGGCTCTTTGATGTGGTTGATTTGGGAGGAGGATGGGTAGAGCAGTGTTTCTCACAGTGTAGTCTATGGATACCTGAATCAAAATCACCTGAAGAACTAGTTTAACAGTGCTGGATCAAATCCAGGCTAAGAGCTCTGCTACTGCTGCACCTCCAGCCAAGAATCCGTTGAAAATCCAACTTCTTACGCTCTTTCTGGATTCACTGAACCAGACCCTCAAAGATACCATAAGTGACATTTTAAAAGGAGAAAGAGTACTGAGTGGGGTGCTACATATTGGTGATTAACTTGCTATGATGAGGCAGGGGAATCTTGGGTTTAAAACCATCCGAGTCAATAAGTTTAAAAAAAAAAATTAATGTGACCAAAGAGAAATGATGGAGATAAATGCTGTTTTTTTTGTTGTTGTTGTGTTTTTTTGTTTGTTTTTTATGTATACTGTGTTCTGTCTGCAAGTATACCTGCAGACCAGAAGGGAGCACCAGATCTCATTACAGATGGTTGTGAGCCACCGTGTGGTTGCTGAGAGTTGAACTCAGGACCTCTGGAAGAGCAGTCAGTGCTCTTAACCACTGAGTCATCTCCAGTCCAATAAATGCTGTTTTAAGAATAAGCAACCCACCCTCCCAGGAAGCTGTTGGCAATTAAAGGTTGCTAGGAGAGGGTGGGTCATTGTCTTCAGTACTGCAGCCCCTGGTGAGTTGCTCATCCTCCCGTGAATAGCTCCAGACTCGTGCCCACAAGGATGGTCCTGGTAAAACTCAGTGGGTCACAAGACAAATCCAAGATATATGATTATGAGATATGGGGGATTTGTCAGGGAGGTGAATAAAGGAGTGGAGCTGGCCAGGTGGTAGTGGTGCACACCTTTAATCACAGCAGTTGGGAGGCAGAGGCAGGTTGATCCCCTGTGAGTTTGAGGCTAGCCTGATCTACAAAGTGAGTTCCTGGACAGCCAGGGCAACACAGAGAAACTCTGTTTCAAAAACAAAACAAAACAAAAGACTGGGGCTAAGTATCTAAGTATGATCAGAATATATTATGTACACTGTACTGTTGGAGGAAGCTGCTTATTGGTTCCTGGCCACCCGGCTAGCTTAGACCCGAAATAATCACATAGAAACTATTAATTGAATCACTGCTTGGCCCATTAGCTCTAGCTTTTTATTGGCTAACTCTTATATTAATTTAACCCATTTCTGTTAATCGGTGTATCGCTACATGGCAGTGGCTTTCTGGGTAATGTTCCCAATGTCTGTCTCAGGTGGAGGATCTGTAGCTTCTCTCTGACTCTGCCCTTCCCTGCCTAGCTAAGTTCTGCCCTACTATAGATCCAAAGCAGTTCTTTATTCATTAACCAATAAAAGCAACACATAGACAGAAGGACCGCCCACATCATTGTACATTTATGAAGTTGTCAAAGACTAACAAAAGTAAGAAGGTCAGGGGATTCCCTTGTATAAGACACTGTGTGTGAGACAACTTGAGAGCCTGGGCTAAAGGTGACGTTGAGTATGATCTTGTTTCGCTTCCTCTAATCATTGTCCACTCCAGGTCGGGGAAGGGAGGCGTGCAGCCCTTTCTATAGCCTCTTTTCTTTACTTCTAGATTCAGAAGATCATTGAGACACTGTCACAGCAGCTTCAGGCAAAGGGGAAAGAACTCAATGAATTTCGGGAAAAGCACAACATTCGTCTTATGGGGGAAGACGAGAAGCCAGCAGCCAAGGAGAACTCAGAAGGGGCTGGGGCGAAGTCCAGCTCAGCAGGAGTGCTGGTCTCTTAGGAACTAAGTCCTCCGCATTTTTTTCACCCTGACACCCACTTCTAATTTCTTTTTATTGTTGTTGTTGTTGTTGTTATTATTATTATTTTCTCTGCTATTGTAATATTTTTTGTTAATTAAATGTTTTGGTCAGAATGCTTAGCTGTAGCCTGAAACTTTCTCTCATTAAGGACAAAAGACAGCATACAGCTGGACATGGTGGCACACATGCCTTTTAGCGCTTGGAATGTAACAGGAAACAGGTCTCTGAGGTTCAGGCTATCCAAGGCTATATATAGTGAGACTCTGTTTCAAACAAGCAAACAAAAAAGGAAAAAAAAATAGTATCTGATTTGCAGTTTTTGTCTCTACCAGGTTAACGGCTCCCAGTATCAGAGAGGCTTTAGGTTTTCCCTTGCAAATAAAGGTGTCTACTTATGTAGTGCCCTTCTAAAACGGACTCAGAGACAAAGTGTTGATTCTCGGATTGAAGTTTAATAAGTATTTGAAGTGGGCAATAGCTCTGATGATAGTGTTGTGTGTCTGCCATGACACAGGCTCTGGCCATTTGCCTTTGGGCTGCTCTTTAGACGAAGAGTTCCAGGATGCAAACCTGTGGGCTTGCTGTCCTGCCGTCCTCACCAAAACCCCCAACCAAATAAAGCTGGTCATTCCAAAGGCAAGTGCGATGGCCCACGCGCTTCAGTCCACGGTCTGCGCAGGGGAAGTGGAACCACAGAGGCGGAGACTTGCCTGTTAGATGGAGAGCAGAAAGTGGTTATTGAGGGGGGATACCTTGGTCTTCGCTTCAACAATGCTTGCCTATTATTTTTCTCCCCCATTTAATTTGTTGGCCTTTTCAAATATTCTATGTATCTTGTCTATTTTGTTTTGTTTCTTGAAGCAGGGTCTCACTATCCTGGTTGGTCTCAAACTCTATGTAGACCAGGCTGGCTGGCCTCAAACTTCCAGAGATCTCTGTCTGCCTCCAGGTACTGGGATTAAAGGTGTAAACCACCATACCTGGCTCTTTTTTCTTTTCTTTTGTTTTTGTTTTTGTTTTTGAGACAGGGTTTCTTTGTGTAGCCCTGGCTGACATGGAACTTGCTCTGTAGACCAGGCTGGCCTTGAACTCACATTCTCCTGTCTGTCTTATGAGTACTGGAACTAAAGGCATGTGCCACTACAGCCTGGCTATGGCTCTATTTTTAAAAAGTGTATATATGTGTGTATATATATTAGATAGGGTCTTATGTGTAGCCCTGACTGACCTGGAACTCATTATATTGTAACATGCTTTCTTTTGGGCCACCAACCAGCTCCCAAGTAAAGACACAGAGACATCTAATTGGTTATGAATGTTCAGCCTTATTTTATGCTTGCTCCACTAGCTCTTATTAACCCCTCTTTACCTGCATTTTGCCTCGGGGCTTTTTACCTTTCTTTAATTCTGTATGTGCTACTCCATGTCTGTCTGGCCCTGAGTGTCTCGCTCTCTTTCTCCCTCATTCTCTCTCTCTAGCTTTTGACTCCTCCTACTTATTCTCTTAGCCTGCCAGCCCCACCTATCCCACCTCTGCCTCTGTATTGGCCGTTCAGCTTTTTATTAGACCAATCAGGTGCCTTAGACAGGCAAAGCAACACATCTTTACATAATTAAACAAATGCAGCACAAACAAATGTAACACATCTTTGCCTAGTTAAAGAAATATTCTACGACTGGGCGGTGGTGGTGCATACCTTGAATCCCAACACTCAGGAGGCAGAGGCAGGAGGATCTCTGTGAGTTCGAGGCTAGCCTGGTCTACAAGAGCTAGTACCAGGACAGGCTCTAAAGCTACAGAGAAATCCTGTCTCGAAAAACCAAAAAAAAAAAAAAAAAGAAAAAAAAAGAAAGAAAGAAATATTCCACAACACTATACAGACCAGGCTGGCTTTGAACTCACATAGAAGGCATTTGCCTGCCTTCTACTTTCCATCTGAGTTGAAAGGTGAGAGCCTCCATATCTGGTTCAGTAAGCCTTAGCCTTTAAAGGCTGAGCTAGCTTTCTGATCCTCTATTGCATTTTCCTTTTTTTTTTTTTTTAAAGACAGGGTCTCTGTAGCTCTGACTTGTCTGAAACTCACTATGCAGACCCAGCTGGCCTTGAACTCAGAAATCCTCCTGCTTCTGCCCCTAGTGCACGCACCACTGCACCCGGCCCACCTTTCTTTAACTTGTGTCAACTAATTTGTCTTCCATTCTGTCCCACCACTCCATCTTTTTGTAGTTTTCTGGTTCACGTCTTTCCCTCCTCCCTTCCTCGAACATTAGTTTGGCTCTCACGGGTATCGTAGATGTAGAGGTCATTGCAGATCGTGTCCCTAGCTCTGGTCAGAGTTTCCCCACCAAAGAGTACAGCGAAAGGTCCCACCACTGAACAGGAATGGTGCCGCAGGCTCTGGGGTCCCTGCTGCAACCCCTGCCCACTGCTCACAAGCCTTGCAAGCTGTTCCATCAAACGAGGAGCAACAGGTGGTTCCTCCTTTGGAGAGAGAAAAGGGACTGTCTGAAGGGTTTGCTCATCTCAGTTTAGTCCTTTTCTACTCTAAAATGTGAGGCGCCAATACCTTAATTTTCCCGTGGCTCCATTGCCCTGCTACTTCTGGTTCAACGGAGTTGCAGCCCCCAAAGAGCAATAGCTGATGACCCGGGTGGGGTCCAGCAGTGGGCAGCAGAGCAGCACAGTGACCAGACCGTGAGACAGTGTGACAGCCTTCTTCCTTGTAGCTGTTGGTACACAAATTCGGGTTTTCTGAAAAGATTCGAGTGTTGTACCGCTTTACCAGAGTGCCCTTGTGAAAGAGAAAATCAGGCTTGGAGCAGATAGTTAGGCCATCTTGGAAATTGTATATCCAAGAAGGAGGGTGCTAGGGTGAGGACAGGAATCAATTACCAGTAAGTTTATTAAGTTTTGTTTTTCTAGATATAGAGAAAATGAATAGACGTTTGGGGCAAAGGTTGCTGTACCAATAAGTGCGGGTGCTGTGGTCCAACTTTAACGTGTAGATGCTTCCATAGCGTCGCTGAGTGCGGGTACCACCCTCTCTGCCGGACACTCGCAGCTCTCGGTCTGATAGGCGAGTGCAAGTGTGACTGCTGAGGCCAGCAGGAGGGCTGTTGCCAGGGTTCGCAGTCCATATCTCCCACACTCCACTCTCCGTGTCCAGAGCGGCCACCGTGGCTAAGCGACGTGACCCGTCCCAGCCCCCCACCACACATAGCCAACGTCCTCCCACCAGTGCCGCATCATGGTGACTGCGAAGGGGACTACCCCGGGCTGGCAGTCGTACCGCTTGTCCCCCAGCTGGGTCAAAGATCACAGTATCACTGCTGGGCACCCTTGCACCACCTTCTAAGAGACCCCCTACCAGATAGAACCGTCCCCGCAGTTCGGTGCATGAATGGAAGGCACGAGCCAGAAGCGCATCCCGCGCCACTGGCCTCCAGGTCCAGGCCGAGCCCACTGCTCGACCGGGGGATTCCGCCCCAGCCATGGGCCCAGCAGAAGGGAGAGCCGTTGGATCGCTTCAGATCACACCCCTTCTTGCGGGGCCCAGCACTTCCTTCAGGCATGGGCTATCTTCCCCTCCAGGACCAACCCAGGTCCTTCCGTACTCAAGACACCCCTTCTCTCCACTGCTGTCGCCCAGCAACCACTGCAAGGACTGCAGTGCGACCGCTGCAAACCGAAGGTCGCAAAGCGCCTGTTACCTTGGAGACAGGACACCTGGTTAGCTACCGCGATCATACAGTGATGCAACGAGATGTGGGGAAATCAGTAAACATCCTTAAAGACTTGGGCTCAAAAAGGGTGGGCGCTGACAGGTCCTTAGAAAAACCCAATATTGACGAGTTAGCTTGATTATGACATTCGGGGCGTAGGGTTTGTGGGAACGGACCGTGTCTCCCTCCCACTCCCCACCGCTGCAGTTTCAAACTTGAAATTTTCTCTAGGGATGAGGTAGGAAAGAAACAAGTCACAGGTCAGAGGTTGAGGGAATGAACACCGACTAAGTGACTTGGAGTCAGATTTGGGTAGAGTTCTTCCAGCGTTCCCATTTATGTAACCGTTAGTGGTAAAGTCCTTCAAAGTACTGATTGGATGGAGAGTCTTTTCACCTCTGGCCGCTAGAGGGCAGTAGAGTCCAGCCTCCAAGGGAAGAGACAGGAGCGAAAGGTGGTGATGGTGGCGAGAGATAGGAAAAGAAAAGAGACAACATGGGGAGGAGGAGATGAGTTAGAGTGGGTAAAGTGCGTGAGGAAAATTAGCTTAGGCATATCTCGGACAATTTTTCACTACTGAGTCCTGGGAAGAATAATGATTTCATCTTGCCTCTTTAGAATCATGTAATGCATGGCACTGTGGAACTCAGGATTAAGGAAGGGTGGGGAGTTTCTCCGATAGGATCCTGGGCAGAGGTGCCCAGCCTTAGAAGGTGGGTGGGGGTGAGACGGGGAGGAGAGAAAAACACCCCTGCCCCTCCCTGCTCTCTTCCTTTGATTCAAGCCGGGTTACTGAAGGCCTTAACGCTGTCCCCACAGGACCCAGTGCAGAATAGAGAGGCCCAGATCAAGGCTGACTGGTTTCGGCTGTAGGAGGAAATGAGACAGATTTCTCCTCCTAGCCCAGCTGGGGAGGGGCAGAATTGGATCTGTGTCCCCCAAGCTGGGCTTTAAGTGGAAAAGGTGGCTGTGACTTTGGCCCTTGGTTTCTAAACATGAACTTGCTCCCCATTAGCCTGAGAAGTCCAGGCCACGGAGAGGGTCCAAGATTTCAGTGGGAACGGCCATGGTATTCAGGGGACTGGGATCGTGTGCACTGGGCCTTCCCCTCCTGATCCCAATTAGATCTGGAGAGGAAGCTACAGTTGTAGACTATGTGATTACCAGGACCCATTGCCCTTTTTTCCATCCCTCCCTTACTTTTTGAAAATTTGTGGTACTGAGGATTGAACCTAGGGTGTTGCTAGGCAACACTCCACTACTTCACTGTTTCTCCAACCCATGTTTTTTTTTATTATTTGTTTATTTGTGTGTTTATTTGTTTTGTTTTAAACTTTGAGTTAGGGTCTTGATAAGTTTCCCAGGATGGCCTTCAACTCATTTGTAGCTCAGGCAGTCTTTGCCTCAGTCTCCTGACTAGCTGAGATTGCAGGCCCGCCCACCAGGCCTGTCCTCACCTGTATGTTAAGCTGAGATTCAACAATAGCTTCGTGTCTTTGCCTATCCAGTTATCTTTTCCTGCATTTGACAAGTCAGATCCTCAGTTTTCTAAGTTATGGTAAAATTCTCTTCTAAAAGAAACATCTAAGGCCCGGGAGGTAGCTCAGTGATGCAAATCCCAGGACCTGAGTTCCATCCCCAGAATCCACATAAAATAGATGGGCATGGCATCCCAGTGCTGGCAAGGCAGAGACGGTGGATCCCTGGGCTTGGTGGCCAGCCCTAGTCTATTAGGTGAGCTCCAGGGCAATGAGAGATCTGTCTCAAAATACTAGTGGACAGCATTCAAGAAACGACACCTGAGACTGTCCTCTGGCTTCCACATACACACACGTGTGTCCTTCCACATACACACACGTGTGTCCTTCCACATGCACACACATGTGTCCTTCCACATGCACACACATGAACATGAATAATCAGCGCCTTTGATTTCAGCAGTTGGAAAGCTGATGCAGGAGGATGATTGGTCTAGGCTACACAGAACTAAGCTAACCAAGACTACATGAAAAGGTCCTAACTTTTTTAAAAAGTTAAATAATAACATCCCCCAAACAAAGACACCCACCCCCGCCCCAACTTTTTGTATCTGTAGCTAAAAGCTAATCTCCCTAAGGCTTCTCACTGACTCACTTTCCAGAAACTGGACACGGATCTGACACACTCACTCCTTGGAGTCAACATGGTGCTGGCTAGATGGGGTGGGATCATTTTACTTGAACCTCATTGGTCTGCTACACATTTTCGGCTCTTGCTCTTGCCTGTCTGTGACTGAGTTGCCAGTCTTATTTTCTGCCTCTCCTCATGAGAAATAGTAACTCCCCATCCCAGGGGCCTTTGTGGTTTCTCCCAGCTTTGTTTCTTTTCCTTCTAGCCTGGACTCTAGTGCCATGCATTGGACTCGTGCATTATACCTGGACATGCAGCCTGAGCCTCACACACTCTTGAGCTGTACGTACTCCAGTTCTGTATTTCCTTCAGTTCTACCTAGCAATAACCCTAGAGAGAAATTCCCAAGAGAGGGATTGTCTAGACTTCACTCTTCTCCTGATTGTTCTAAACCAAGTCATTATCTTGGAGGAAGCAGGAAAAAAAGACAGGAAAAGGGAGAACTGGCAGGAGGAAGTGGGCTCAAGCCAGTCTGCATTTGGTTTTGGTTTTGATTTTTTCGAGACAGGGTTTCTCTGTGAAACAGTCTTGACTGTTCTGGAACTTGCTCTGTAGATCAGGCTGGCCTCGAACTCGCAGAGATCTTCCTGCCTCTGCCTCCTGAGTGCTGGAATTAAAGGCGTGCACCACCACTGCCAGTCTGCGTTTGCATGACATATACCTGAGAATGGCACCTGAGGTGGTCGATGCTGTCCAGGCTGAGATGTCCCTCCCGGCCCCAGACCTAAGCCTTGATTCAATCTTCACAGTGCTCTTTATCTTCTCCCTGCCTTACCTCCGTGTTCTTTTCTTTTCTGAGACAGGCCTTGCTAAGTACCCCAGGCAGACCTTAAACAATTTTGCCTTGGCCTACTGACTGCTAGGGTTATAGGCATGTACCACCATGTCTGTCCCTGACTCATTTGCTGACCCTGGCATCGTCTCTGGGCCTCGGAATTGTTCAGTGCACACAAAAGCCAGCACTTCTGCCAGTGAGTCTCTGTCACACTCCCAGGACTTCCGCCGTGCCCTCCTGTCTCCTCTGGCTGCCGCATCTGTCAGGCCTTCTCTCTGACTCTTCCTCTAGTGTCCCTGACCTGTCTCCATTTTTCCTACAGCCCATTCTGGCCACTCGATTTCCATGACCTTATGCTAGCCTGATGCAAATCCTGCCCGTGTTCTTAGCTCAAAGGGGACATGGACAAACAAGATCAGAGGAGCGGCCAGGAAAATAAATGCATGAGGCCAGGGGCTTGAGAGTGCCTTTCACTGGATGTGAGCTAGAAAGTATCTGAGAGAAGCCAGTCAGTGGTGGCGCATGCTTTTAATCCCAGTGCTCTGGAGGCAGAGGCAGGTGGGTCTCTGAGTTTGAGGTCAGTCTGGTGTACAATGTTAGTTCCAGGACAGTCAAGGCTACACAGAGAAACCCTGTCTTGAAAAACCAGATAGATAGATAGATAGATAGATAGATAGATAGATAGATAGATAGACAGACAGACAGACAGATAGATTTTAAGGAAAGTATCCGAGAGAAAGAAATCCTCCCAGTAGTGGGCAGTAGGCATCCAGAAATTTCTCTTAAAGGATTTCTCTTGTTCAGATTTTGTCTCCAAATTTCCTCTCTAAGATAGCTCAGTAGGGAAAGGTTCTTGCAGCTAAGTCTGATGACCTGAGTTCAATACCCCAGCCCCACATGCTGGAAGGACTGACTTCTGCAAGTTGCCCTCTGACCTCCACATGAGGGCCATTGTAACCACCACCCCCACCCACGCCCCACACCATCCTCATAATGAATAAATGTAATTTCCATTCTTTAGAGATTGTCTATCTTTTGCTTTTTGTTTGTTTTTGTTTTGTTTTTGGAGACAGGGTTTCTTTCTCTGTGCAGCCCTAGCTGACCTAGAACTTGATTTATAGACCAGGCTGGCCTCAAAGTCAGAGATCCCCGGGCATCTTCCTCTGGGGTGTTGGAATTAAAGGTGTGGCCACCACACCCTGCTATCTTTTGCTTTTAAAATTTTGAGGGGGGGAGCTGGCAAGTTGGCTCATCAAATAAAGAGATCTGCCACTAAACCTAGGACACCCAAGGCTACCCAAAGAAACTCTGTCTCGAAAAAACCAAAACCAGGACTGAAGAGATGGCTCAGCGGTCAAGAGCACTACTGATTGCTCTTCCAGAGGTCCTGAATTCAATTCCCAGCAACCACATGGTGGCTCACAACCACCTATAATGAGATCTGGTGACCTTTTCTGGCCTATAGGCTGGATACTTGGATACTGTATAAATAAATAAATAAAATCTTTTTTTTCTTAAAAAAAAAAAATCCTAGGAATGGACTCTAGGTCCTAGACAAGCACTCTGACTCGTGAGCTCCATTGCTAGGAGTTGCCCCACCCTGCACTCTGACACACACACACACACACACACACACACACACACACACACACACACACAAATACACACACGAGAGATTCTGGCTAGCTGAAAACTCATTGTGTAGATGAGGGTGGCCTTGAACTTATGACATTCCCCATGCTTTTGCTACGTTTACAGGAGCATGCCCCCATTCCTAGACTGTGTCAGCCCCCCCACCCAAAAAAAAATGTTTTGGGACAGCCTTGAGTTTGGGACTTCCATATAGAATACAGACACTCCAGGAGGCTTCTTCCCTCCACCAAAAAATGCTTCAGCCTCCTTGGTATGCTAGGTCACAGCGCCTGCTTCCTTCCTTTTTCTTCCCAGTGTAACGTTCTTTCTGCTAGTTTGGATCTGTCTCTGTTTTCCCTTGCTTTCCTTTTAGGATTCTGCCTTTT